GGAGAAACAGAGCCTCATTAACAATGAAGAAACCAATAATGCGTATACCACCACTTCCCAGCCAGGCGTTGGTACAGACAGTGTAGGCGGCGGCGAAGGAGGACCAGTTATTTCCGCAGGTGCTAATTCAGCAGAAGGTACTCTTTATAAATTATAAAAAATCTTTTTCATATACATATGTATGTAAGTATGTATTTATGTACAAGTGTTTATCTAGTATGTAAATGTAATTCAGTTCATTAAACCCGGCACTGGCGTTAACATGCGTAGCATTAGATGCTGCACATTTCAACAAATCCCAAATGAACTGTAAACGAAGCAACCACAATGCTGTTATAGAAACCTCATAAGTGTGTATTACTACAGCTGTTAGAGGTGATAAGGGTGTGGGTGGTTTCAGATTTGTGCCTGCTTTCGTAACGACTTGAAGTTATTCGAAGTATGTTTTCTTTTCTTCATTGGGCTTGATTGTTAGGTCTGTTTTGTGTATTCATACCTACATACATACTTACACATGCATAGTTATGCAGTTGTACATGCACAGTAAACCAAAGCTTCATGATGTCGCGTATTGTTGAGCCACTGATTGCATTAACAGAGGTCTGGTACATTATATGTATACCTACATAAGTACGCTAAAGTATGAGAATGCATTCGATATTTTTCAACATTATAAAATTATCAAGATTACCAAGTTGCTTTTTGCATCTACAATGTGATGGTATCCCATTCTCACATCGGGTGAGTCATACGTCATGGCCATTGTGAAGTCCCAACAGTTGTTATGCGATATGTTATCAATGTATTTTGTTTATGAATACAATGTTGCTGGAAATCGTGTGCTAGTGAAGGCATCAAATAATAATAAAAAAAGGAAATTAAGATTATAACAAAAGAAGTACCCAAAGAATTTTTTGAAAGACTACTGCATAGAGCGTGCTGTTTAATCGGCCCAAGGGTCAAGGTAACAAATTAGGGTTAATTTAATTTGATCAAATTAATTTTATATCTAATGATACCTATACAAATGCCATTTCATTTATTTATGTACAGCTTTTGTAGCAATAAATATAAGCTACGTAAATCGATTTTTCCTAAGAAACTTGGAACTTATGCGGTGGGCTCATAAGAAGCATGATACATTCATCCGTTAACATAAGCCTCATGTACAAAACTTAAATTATATTTGTGTACTATAG